CGAAGAGTGATGAAAAATAACACATTTTTTGCTACTACATAATATTTTTCAGTCATTTATATGAATATAATGTAATAAAAGGGAGGAGTTTGGGAACCATTAGTGAAATTGCCTGCGTAACGGATATAGTGAACTCCCGGTTATAGTGAACCGAAATTTCGGTCCCTTGAAGGTTCACTATGTATTTGACTGTATTACATATTATTTTTGTGCGAAAGCTTTTCACAATTATTTTAAAAGCAATAAGCAACAGCCAGCAAGCAAGTGTTCCAACTCAAAAAAACATTTTCAGAACATTTTGAATCTTTCCATTTTGCAATGGAACTATAAATTGCTAGAAAATTATATATTTTTAATTTCATAAATTGCAGAAAATTTCAATGGCTTTACTTTACATAATATGCATCAAACATTAAACTTTCGAAACGACTTTACAAAACTTTTCAAAATAAATTGTCTTAATAATTGTGAGGTGTTAGATCAATACTGATTATTTCAAAAAGCAGTTTTATCCATTATATTGCAGTTTATTCTACTACTTTTGTTAAGTTATTTTCAATTCTAATTTATAAATAACTTAATATAATATTATGAAAATCTACTAGTTTATAATTTAGTGTAATATAAAATGGTGGGAATGACTTTCTAGGATGGAAAAAGCTTAATTTTTGCAATTACGACGGAAAAATTTCACCAATCAAAAACCTGTATTTTTACCCATCGCAAAATGCGATATGTTTACAAAAATACAGCATTCTGATTACCTTAATTGAGCCATTGTAATTGTGTAAATTTAGCGCTGAATTCCACCCTAATGTCAGCAAGGATATGAATTTTTCGCAGCTAGATGACAAAGCTAGCAATCAGAAAACTGCATTTGGCATAATAGACGTAGAATTGTCAGAAAATCAATAAAATGAACAGAAACAATATTTCGTTTGAGCATTTAGGGGGTGGGACTTAATAGCTATTTTAGGTTCTAGTCAATTTTCTTGTTATCTATAATGAAAAATTTAAATACCTCCATAAAGTTTGGTTCTTTATTAGTGAAGTAGTGAAGCATAGGAAACCCCCAACGAAGTTTTTGCCCCGGGCCCTGAAGGTGTCTAGAACCAATAACTTTTTCCGACATGATATTCTTGTATGTGATTGTATCGAAATAAATTTTTTGTTTCCCCGACAGATTGGAAAATTTCTAGTGGCAACCCTCCAGGTAACCCTCCAATAATCTGCTTATTCAAGCACGAAAACTGAAAACATATTTCGAAGGAAAAATGTAAAACAATTGTTCGTGAAAATGTAGGCACATATTTACAGTCTCAGGGGTGAGATTTTTCCGCTGTTTAGCGAATTTCCGCCTTTTTCGCTTTTGTCTCTCGAATTGCAGCCTTTTTATAAAAAACTTCGATTCTCTAAAAGTTTCAGTTTTTTTTAGAAATATTCAGTTTTTTCTGAAAATTCAACCGTTGAAATAAAATTATATTTATTTCCAATTTGATATAAAGATATAATATATCGAAAGATCTATAGAAAATCAAACTACGTAGCTGCCAACCCTTCCGCATATCTACTTATTTTAGCTATTAGCTTTTACGAGCAGAAAATAAGATTTTCCCCATTTTTTACCGTCTGCTAGATAGCTCGTATTTTCGTAATCCAGCCGTCGCTACATTTTAATATCAAACATCGATTTTTGTATTTACATGATTTAAAAGTTGCGCGTTGTGATTATTATTCACACGATTTCAATATCGTCCATTGTAATTCTTATTTACGAGATTTAAAAATCCAATATCGCGATTTGTATTGAGGCGTTTTTAAAATGCTACGTAACGATTCATATTCACGCGATTTTATCCAATGTCGTGTTTTGTTATTTCGGTTGTAATATCCAACATCTATTTTCATATTTACACATGATTTAAAAATTAGGCTTTGGATTCATTTTCACACCATTTATATATTATGCATCGTAATTCATATTTATGCGATCTGAAAATTACGCATCATCATTTGTATTTTTGTATTATTAAAATCAAATATCGAGTTTCATTCACGTGTTTTCAAAATGGTGATTTTATATTAACGCGATTTTAAAATCCTTTATCGCGATTCTTGTAAAAAGTAAGTTTTTTTTTCTTGAATTAGTTACTATAAATGTGGCAGTTTTTCTATCGACGATTATTGCTATATATAGGCATTACAACATCAGCAAAACTAGATGAGAATATGTTACTGAAATTTTAGCTATAAATCACGTAAAATTTACTCCCGTGAAAATTCAGTTTTTTTCCCTTTTGGTCAATCTCATCCCTGTACAGTAGAACAAGTTTTTGGTAACTTGGAAAAAGCCGGAGGATAAGCAGGTTTCATGTCACATCATTTTTCTTGTCACTTTTGTTGTGAATGTAATGTTTATTGCAAATTTTGTGACAAACCTGTGTTTTCTGAACATTTAGGAAAAATTTCCCGAACTTGTGCACTTTCTTCGCCTCTGGATGGGATGAAGAATGCAGAAAATAAGTCCTGCAGCTGCTGGAACTGCAATGAAAATTTACTGAGATTGCAGGTGTGTTCCCTCCCGTTCTCATTGCGTTAGTTTTTTATTTCTTTTCTACAATTTCCTGTCATGCATTTTAACTAGGTTACATTTTTCCGGTTTTCATGCAAAACATAACTTTCATCTCTAATTTTTGCAGTGTGTTATGAAATGTACTTTGCTAAACCTTCTCCCAAGGAATTTTTTTTTTACTATGTATAATATTTGAGCCGTTATGGCTCAGGGGATAAAGCGTTTGCCTTCCAATGAGGTGAGCCGGGTTCAAATTCCAGTAATGGCTGGTCAATAAGAATTTCGCATTTGGCTTGCACCGACCACAGTGCTGAAATAAAATATCCTCAGTGGTAGACAGATCATGGGTTAAAGTCCCCTTCTGTCAGGCTAACTGTGGGAGGTTTTCCTCTACTTATAACACAAATGAGGGTTTAGTTTCATCAGTCTTCCACGAAGGTAAATTTCTCCCAATACTTAATCCAGGAGTTCCCTTGTCTTCTGGAATAAGTTCAAAATTACATGGCTACGGAGTCGAACATTATTCGTCGTAAACCCAAATAACTGGGGCCGCTGTTCAACAACGGTTATGAAATAAAATATATATAATATTTGACTTATTATCTACCAAAAAGTAAGTTTCATTTCCTATCAAATCGAAATATATATTTAGGAAGAAATATTACGGCTTATCGCAAAAATCTAACGTTTGGAAGTTTTTTTTGTAATTTTCTTGGAAAACCTGAAAAGTCAGGGAATTCTATTTTTAAAATTGAGTGAGAAGCTCGTATTATATAATCTGCTTATATTTTTTCTATTTTTTTTTGTTCTGTATTTTTTCTAGTTATTTTATGCTATATATTTTAAAAAAAAAATTAATTATGTGACTTATTTTATGATCACTGCCTGCTTACAGTCCTTGTTGTCATACATTGGCCCTGTAGAGGAAATCAAGGGAATGGTTTTGGAGTTCCTGTATTCAGCTGGAAATAAAAACCTCAACTGGTTAAGCCTTGAGGTAATGTGCTCAAGTGAGGCGCAGGCCATAAAGATGCTGATAGGAATGGTGCCAAGAGCGCTCCTTCCCTTTGCCAAAGAAATCTTCAAAGCAGATAAAAAGAAGGTAGCAATGTTCTTTCTATTACTAGCTTGATACCTGATCTCTGTACAAGATAAAAAAAATAATAAATAAACCAGTATTAACGCTGCAAAAACATGTACAAAACTGCAAGACCACTAAAAAGGATATGCCAAAAAAAAAAGAAAAAAAAAAGACTCAAGCCAGTAGTTAGGTCATAGAATAGAAGTTAACTAGAAAGAAAATAAAATAAATAACTAAACCCGTATTTACACTATAAAAACATGTATAAAACTAAAGAGGGTGTGTAAAAAAACAAACAAACTTGAACGAAGTAATTACGTCATAGAATAGAAGTTAATTTCTTTTTGTCTACCACTAAATTATAAAGCATTTTATAATGTATTTTTTCTTAAGTAAGAACACCCCTAGCCTAATTTTACTTCTTTTTTTAATATAAATTATTTTTGATTTAAAATTATTTTATTTTTAGCAGCATGCTTTAAAAGCGTAACTGTGAACAAAACATACTCGTAATTGCTGGTAATTTATGAAATACTAATTTAGTGATCCACTTATCACATGCTACTCATGTTGATCCTTGACCTTACTTTAAGTAACAACAAAAATAAATAAATAAATATTATTAAAGAAGGTGCAATGAAGCTCAGTTTTGTTTAAACGGAACCGGTCGATAGCAAGCATCACATATTTGACACACATCACATTTTAAAACATGAAATATTTAGAAAAAAAAACACAATCATCAATAGTTTAATTTATAACAATACCTAATGTGAAACCAATGAGAAAAATTCATTTTTGAACGTTCCTGCTTATGGACCAATTAATTTTAGGATCAAAGACTAAAATTTAGTATGTATACTATGCATTTGTATGTATTCTACTAGCATAAGTTTCTGATTTATGCTTATAGATATAAACAATATGGTGTTCCAACCTGAATGCAGATTATACACTTTTTTGTGTAATTCAGTAATGTTATTAATAATTGTAGCTAAGTTCAACCAATCTATGAATATAAAAATTACTTGATATGTTTTAATATACCTTTCTATCTATTGCTTTTCAAAGTGACCAATACATTTCAGTAGCATGCATTTGAAAATAATCTGTCAAATCTTTAAATCTGTTTTTATTATAATTATTACAGTGGTCCTTGTTGTTTTCCTTGTTAAATGAACACATAAATGCTCTTCCTGAAGATCATCCTAATGCTGAAACATACGCAAAAACATTCCAAGGTAATCTCACACTCTTTAATTATTTAAACTGATGTATGAGAGTAGCGAAAAGAGAAACTAATAATTCTATATAACTTTAGATCTATTGATTTGGACTTAAACATACTCGATACAAANCAACTATATATATATATATATATATATATATACACACAGTGTTTTCACTACAGCACAAGAATCTCACCTATTTTTTTTATTTTCTCGAAATTAAAAACGATTAACGCGAGAAGTTCGCACACTCTATTAATCAATTTCAAAATGCACGAATTTTGTAAAAAATTTCGTCTTTTGCCATGTTGAATAAAATCGGTCTCACTTTTCTTCCTTGATCTTTCATTATTTGAACATCGGTCCTTGTTATCTAGCTTCCCTATTTATCAGTATTGTTCAGAACCGGTGCGAACAGCAGAGCACCCCTTCCCCCTGAACCTTGGAACCCCTTTCAGAACACATTTCTCTGCAACCACGTGTTCACCATAGGTAAGGTTTCTTCATGTAAGATGTTTAAATTTTTATGCATGAATGTAAGATGGACCTTGTTAAGGCGACATCTTCTACTCCGTAGCGGGCAAATGAAAATGAAACAAATGTCGGTAGAAACTGTCAAAACGAAACAAATACGGATATTTTTCAGCCAAATAAATATAATAGCCGATGAAAAAGTAGATATAGAACATTTTCCATATGATGATGCGGCAAAAATATTCAATTAGAAGATGTGAAAAATGTATTATAATTAAAGAAATTATTTTTTTCCAAGTCTATTCGTGTTTTTTTAATTTTTAGAAATCTCACTTAACTTTTTGAAATCTCACCCTGTTTTTGAGAAAGGGTGAGAAATTCTC